AATACCCAGGCAGGTGCGACGTTTTGGAGGGGCTCATGGTAAGGCCCGACCTTTAAGCAGCATGCTCCAGGTCAAACAGCGGCGCCTCCAACTCCTCTGAGTGAGCAGCAATCACCAGATCATCAGCATTCGTAACATGGTTGACCAATAGGGAGCCATCCCTCGACCGCACCCGAGCATCAATCAGCCTCCAATTGTATATTTAACAGATGGAGATTCCTGCAGTACAGCCATGGAAAGCTACTCGAACTATGTAGTTGAAAAAGTTGTTGAATATAGGAGTGAGAGGACATCCATGTCGCACCCCATGGGTGAACAAGGAATGGCTCTGACTCCCGGCCACGTAGTTTCACCAGGGCCTGCCCATCATCATGAAGGTTCTTAATGATTGTGAGCAGAGAGTCAGGGACTCCGAAAACAACCCAGAGCCCAGGCCTATTGATGCTATCATAGGCCTTGACCAGGACAACCACGTGTGTGTGGTTGTGTTTTTTCAACCACGTGTGTGGTTGACGATCGCCGGACTGATGCGAACGCCGAAGTACACAACAAAACTTTTCGCCGGATCGCACTCTTTACTTTATGTTTGTATTAGTTATCAGTCACGGTGACTGCATTTACGTGCAGAGTTTTAATTGCTTACGTCGTGTTGTTGTACGTAGTGCATAATGTACTCTATTTAATATTTGACACTTAAATAAACCAATAGCTATTTTGTTTTTGTCACACACGTAACTGTTCGCCGGACTGGGTTACAGCCTTTGGAGCGGTTTAGCCGGATCGGCCCTTGACCACCCGCTGGATAATGGAAGCAGCCGAATAACACTATGTAACACAATTTTTGTTCCTGGGTAGTAAGTGTTATTTCCTAATTGTTTATGCCTAAAAAGTATAAAAAATGGCTATTCCCCAATGAGAAAACGGGCGAATTTGTGTCTTTTCGTTCACATAAAGTCTGAAAAAAAACACATCAATCAAAATTAACATGTATTTATACTAAAGTAATATAAAAATTACTACAAAAGATTTAGAAGGGAGTAGTTTTTCGAGAGTTATGATTACATTGTAAAACACTTTTACGAATCAGCCCCCAAATTTAGTCTCCCATCATGTTCTCGTTATACTGTCTTTGGTCGCGACGTTCAAAGTCCAGTATGTCCTGGTGGAAGCGTTCTCCTTGCTCCTGTGAGTACGCTTCCATGTTCTCCTTGAATTTATCAAGATGAGCATCAAGGATATGGACTCTGAGGGACATCCTACAGCCCATTGTGCCATAGTTCTTCACCAGAGTCTCAACCAGCTCCATATAGTTTTCGACCTTGTGATTGCCCAGCAAGCTACGAACCACTGCGACAAAGCTGTTCCAACCCGATTTCTCCTTACTAGTGAGCTTTTTGGGGAATTCATTGCACTCCAGGATCTTCTTTATCTGTGGTCCGACGAAGACACCGGCTTTGACCTTTGCCTCAGACAGCTAGGGGAAGAAGTCTTGAAGGTACTTGAAGGCTGCCGACTCCTTATCTACAGCTCTGACAAATTGTTTCATAAGGCCCAATTAGATGTGCAGTGGTGGCATCAGCACCTTCCGGGGGTCCACCAGTGGCTCCCACTTGACGTTGCTTCTCCCCACAGAGAACTCGGTCCACTGTGGCCAGTCCCACCTGTGGTAGTGCGCCTTGGTGTCTCTGCTGTCCCAAAGGCAAAGATAGCAGGGAAACTTGGTAAAACCGCCTTGGAGACCCATCAGGAATGCCACCATTTCGAAGTGAGCCAGGGGAAGAGACGGGTACTTTATAAATCCTTTATATTAAGTTCACTTGCTTGCTTGCGCGCTTATGACCGTGCAAATCTTTCGGTCGTTTTTTAACCCACTTCCCGTGATCCAATCGAGCTGACATTTTGCACACAGACTCGTTGTGCGTGACAATTTATTTTCGTGAAAATTTTTTTCCAAAATTTTACACTTTTAGGAAAAAATAAATTATATTTAATTACCAATTGCTTAATGGTGGCAGGCAATCATGTGACCCATAGGTGGCAGCCATCTCAAGCCAGAGGATGAGAGGACTCTAGCCGCCACGCATATAAAGGATTTATAGTGAAAAACTTTGTTTTTACGGGTTAATTTTTTGCCATTATGGAGCAGCACGGCTTTGAGGCTCCTGGATGAGGTGTCAATGAAGAGGTGCCACTCATTCTGGTTACAGGTGATTCCGATTGCCTCGAACAGACTGGTCACATTGTGGCAGAAGTAGAGCCCATCTTGACGGCTGAGGAAGCTGCAAAAAGGTTGGTGACGCTTCCTCTGATCTGCGACTTGCAAACTTTCATCCAACAAGTTCCACTGCTTGAGCCTAGACGTCAAAAGCTCGGCATTGGACTTGGTGAGACCAAGATCTCTGATCAAGTCGTTGAGGTTTTTTTTGGTTGGGGTAGTATGGGTTTCTCTCCTCAGCTCCACCTCTGAAATTGTCATCTGGATCTACAACGTCTTCCTCGCTCTTTGACTTGCTGCTCTCTTCTAAAGACGGCTGCTCTCTCTCCGAAGGCGTGGGTATGGGGAGCTCATGGCAGTGTGGCACCGGGGCGATGGATGAAGGAAGGTCCGGATACATGATAGCAGGTGCATTCTTGCCAGTCCGACGTTTGGAAGGGTCCACCATGCAGAAGTAGCAGTTGCTTGAGTGGTCAGTGGGTTCCCGCCAATTTCTTGGGATAGCGAACTTAATGGCTCTCTTTTCCCCTCTGTACCATCCTACAAAAATACATTTATTTCACCCATGACTAATGTGTAAGAGATTTTCGCAACATTTTTCATACATAATATATTTTTTCAATAACATTGAAAACTGTTAAACATGTTTTTATTTAAAAACTTTAACAATTGTGTTTACAAATTTTATAACATCAAATTCCGAGCAACAATTGTCCATCTTACTTTCCACAGTTGTTTTGCATTGCTTGGAGGTGAAATGAGGTGCCCAGGGTTTGTCTTGATCCCCGACAGGCATGCCGAAATATGCCTTGGAGGCCTCACACATCTTAGCAGATGCTTCCACAGAGTACTTTTTCGCTCTTATCTTGATAAATTGGCCGCAGACATAGCAAAATGCATCTGCCGGATGCTTGCAGCCTCTTGATGCCATTTCAGAAAAATGTTAATATGTATCCACTTAGGCAGCTGGAACGAAACTGAACTGGTGGGCTTAAGGCCCCTGTATTTTCCTAATATTTATATTACAGGAAAGTTCTAGAATGTTCTAGAAGTTCCTCCAAGTTTACTCAGCACTGAATCTATCTGGAATGTTCTGGAAAATAGGTCAATTTCAAAATATCACTGTCCTGATCACAAAAGCAAAGTTGGTGGCGAATAATAGCCATTTTCTGTACTTTTGAGGCATAAGCAATTAGGAAATAACACTTACTACCCAGGAACAAAAAAAATGGTTACACAGTCAGAATCGGCCCTAGACCTTTGGGGGCCCTAAGCAAAATTTGGTTGGAGGCCCCTTTGATGTATGATTTTTTTCACCCACTAGCCAGCAGTGACTCTAGGGGGCCCTCTGCTGGCCACGGGGCCCTTTGCAATTGCAAGGGTCGCTTAGTGGCTGGGCCGGCTCTGTACACAGTATAATGGAAGATCAATAGTATTCATCTGCTCAAATGTCCACACAACGATAAGCCACTTCGTCGAGCTATCATTTGCGATCGCCAGGTCGCTTCTGAATAAGTATAACCCGTAAAAACAAAGTTTTATCGCTATAAATCCTTTATATGTGTGGCGGCTAGAGTCCTCTCGTCCTCTGGCTTGAGATGGCTGCCACCTATGGGTCAGATGATTGTCTGCAGTATTAAACAATTGGTAATTAAATATTTAATTTGTTTTTCCTAAACAGTGTAAAATTTTTGAAAAAAATTTTCACGAACATTAATTGTCTCGCACAACGAGTATGTGTGAAGAATGTCAGCTCGATTGGATCACGGGAAGTGAGTTAAAAAACGACCGAAAGGTTTGCACGGTCGTAAGCAAGCAAGCAAGCGAACTTAATATAAAGGATTTAAAAAGAGCTTCCGTAGCTTCGTAGAGCCTTGCTTCTGTGAAATAATGAATAGTTTAAAATATGAATACATCGAGTATAATCTAGATTTGAAGTTTTCGTGACTGCAGGGATCCATACTCTTTGGTTCTTTCAGTAAAGTCACGTAGGTATAAAATAACATAAATTAAATCACGACGTTCAGCATTTGTTTCTTGCTGTGGTTGTCCCATCTGATGACGGATGCTTGTGTTGCGCCCGAAATGTCGTGATTTATTTAATTTTATTTGATACCTACGTGACTTTACCGAAAGAACCAAAGAGTATACATCGAGTATAAGTTGATCGTGCTTGTGCAGCACTGACGAACACAGCAGCAGGAGTATCACCATGTCATTTATTTGGACATTTTTTTTCGATTTAAAGCTTTCGTGATTGCAGGGATTCATATTCTAGATATTAAGTTTTCGTGACTGCAAGGATTCATACTCTTTAGTTTTTTCGGTAAAGTCACGTAGGTAATAAATAAATAAACTACTAAATTAAATCACGACGTTTTGGAGGCAACACAAGCTTCCGTCTTCAGGTGGAACCGTTACAGCCTTATTACAGTGAATTTGCCTGTAACGGTTCCACCTGAAGACGGAAGCTTGTGTTGCCTCCGAAACGTCGTGATTAAATTTAGTTATTTTTCATTTATTTATTTTTTACCTACGTGACTTTACCGAAAAAAACACGTAGAAGGGAAATAATAAAATAATAATACAAATTTCCATACAACAATAACATTTTCACGACGTTTCGATTGCAACACAAGCAATCATCATCAGGTGTGAAACCCACAGCAATAAATTTTGAAAAAAAGTAGCGGTTTTATCTATTCGGACATCTTTAAGAACTCCCCGGGTCATCCTTAAGAGTTCACCCCAGGGCGGTCTCCTTAAGAGTTCCGGGGCCGCCTCCTCCGCTCCGCCGCGTGTTCGAGCCACGTGTTTGGCCAAGCCGCCGCGGTGCGTTCTCCCGTACGGTAACTCCCCAACTGAAATCTAAATTATAGAAGTAAAACTCCGCAGTTTCCACCGGCCATCCAACGCGATCACCACGCAGGTTCGCGCGACACTCATTTGGCTGTCGTCTCCGTGTATTTTTCGAATGTGCAAGAGTTGTGCGTTTGCGCGGTTTCCCGGGCCGGTCTCGCCTGGTTGGGTAGCCGGATAAGGTGGCGCTTGGTCGGTATGCGGTACAGGCTTAAGGGGGTCCTTGATGCCTGTAACGTTTTGTAGTGGGCCGTAAATCACACGCTGGCTATGGTGTTATAAGATTGTTAAATATAACACTGGTTTGTGTATACGTTGCTTGTGAGTTGCCAGGAAACTCGCAGTATCACTAACATGTGGTTAATATTGTATATGTTCTGTGCTGTGATTGTGGAGCGGTGGGGCAGTTGTTCGCGGGCTGTGTACACCTTCACCCGAGTTTGATTTTATGCCACGGCTAACATCAGTGGCGAGTTACATCTGAACCGTTCCTGTGCCCCCCCCCCCCCTAAAATCTGTACTATCCAGCGTGGTGAAGTATGGTCATACAACCTCCACGACTGCAACGGCGTGGGTAGGCCTCTATCTCGCAGTGTATTGATAAATGTTTGTGAATTATAGTTTAAAGCACTGCAGACCAACTTCTTGTAGTATGTCAGTTGTTAATACTAGATTGTTTTCTTATTTAACTGCCAAACTTTTCATCTAAAAAGAACTCCATACATTCGTCAATATTACTGCTTTCAAAGAAAAAATACAATAGGTAACGTTTCGAGCAATGCCCCTTATTCATGACGCACCGAGAGACCGGAGGTACAGAGTCGGTGTTATTGAGTAAATGTGTTTTAGTTTGTGTTAATTGAGCTTTTGCATCATTGCCAACACAGCCAGCGCCCCATACATTCAACTAATAGGGATATTGTTTTTCATTAACCGGTTACTGTGTCGTAATGGTTGGACTGTAAGGGGTATCCTGGAGAAAATGGTAACCTTCATTTGCTTGTCAAGTGTTTACTGTATTCTTAAGATAACCACCTTGGTTTGGGTCTTTCCCCGTCATGTTGAAAAATGATGAAAGCACTCTGTAGTCCCACAGAGCAATGTAAATTCTTCATGCTTGGAGAGTGCGGCTGTGACCTCATGTTCACACGGTGGAGCAGGGGTCGGGAACCTTTTTGACTGGGAGAGCCATAAAAGCCAAATATTTCTAAATATATTTCATTGACAGCCATATAGTATTTTTAACGTATAATAAATTAAATATGTCTTACTTTTAATGCGACTTCTGGTCACGGAACCCGTGACCCGAGAAATTTTATCTTCAAAACTAATTTCTGTTTACTTTAAAATGACACAGTATTATTAAGCAATATCACAAGTATTTTAAAATCAGTTCCAAACTGATTTTATTATTTTTATTATTTTTTTCAACTCAAAATTGTCTGGGAGCCATATGCCGTCACCGGAAGAGCCATATATGGCTCGCGAGCCATAGGTTCCCGACCGCTGCGGTGGAGGGTGGCACCTCCCTGTCACCATTCCCGCTATACAGTAATATTCACGGCACGACAAACCGATAATTCAAATTCCTGGCACGAATTGAGAGCAAACCAAATTTCATCTGGGGAGCCTTTATGTATAGCCGTTGGTGAGCGGGTTCTGAGACCATCAACTCAATTTACTTGAGAACACGGTTTAATCAGAGGCAGCTGCCTAGCTTGGAACCCCACATCTCAGCGGTGTCAGCTCAGCGCTCATGAAAAAGACTGTAAAAAATTGGTTTATAGTAATGCTCTTCTCCATCACAGTTGCACAAACTAATTGTGTTTTTACTTGACCTCGCGCGCAGGTAACAACTCCGGTTGTTGCGCGTCTCCCCTCGACATGGGGGAGTTCTCCGTGCACCGGGTGCGTCTCTTTGACTGGGTGCCGAGCGCCGCGCGCTGTCTCGCCTACTGTGCCGTGACGGAGCGCATCGCGGTGGGGCGAGCGGACGGCTCCATCGAGATCTACAATGCCACGGATAACTTCTACCTCGAAAGGGCAAGTGTGGCGTCGCGAACAGGGGGGGGGGCGGCTATGCACACAAATGTGGGCGTCACGGTGGCGAGATGTTATCTCCCTCGCCTGGTATGCAGAGGGTCGTGGTTTCGATCCCGAGTATGACGCCTGCTGTATATTTGGAGTTTGGTCCTCTGGTTTTTCCCTTCACATGTAGAAACATGGGTTTAGAGCAGTGGTTCTTAACCTGGGGTGCGAGATATGCCAGATTTTTTTAGAAGGTAAATCATCAAAACACAAATTAAGCATGGGCACGTAAGTCCAACTACTTTGTTTCATCAACCCTATGTATTTATTAAAATTTTTTTTTTACGATGGAGAACCAAAGGGGTGCAAGGCAGCAGTAAATGTTAAGAACCACTGGTTTAGAGTATTTGGCTGCTATAAATATCCACTTGATAAGCCACTTTATTTAGCTATCAGTTATGTCCAGGTCGCTTCTCAAAAAGAGTCATATAGCTCGGTGAGCCATACCTGGTAAAATATGAAATAGTTTAAATATTTTAGTTTAAGTATGCACAAGTATACCGGCAGTGTACACCGTATACGGGATTGTGCGCAGCGCTCGCAGCGTAAGCTCTTACAGAATGTATTCTGCTGTTGTGAAACATTTTCGACGCGAACAAAACTATTGGATTTTTTTGGCCTTTGCCTCCACCACCTTGCTACCCTGTAAATCGCTTCTATTCACGTCATTTCGATATTCGTCGTCGCACCTTTCAGGAATGCATCCCCACCCCCCCGACGTAAACTGGGGTATTGCTGTCGTTCAGTTGTCGCGCAACCCTGACGATGCCGCGTGCTGCTGCGTGCCACCGCAGGCGATCCCGGGGGGCTCGGGGCGGGAGCCCGAGGCGCTATGCTGGGCGGGCGCCGGGCGTTTGTTTGGCGCTGGGCTGGACGGCGCCATCCTCGAGTTCGACCTCCAGAGGCTGCGCGTCCGCTCGCGCGTCGACGCCTTCGGCGGCCCAGTGTGGTGCATGGCGCCCGACGCAAACGGGTCGCGTCTCGCCGTACGTACACGCAAACTCATGCACGCACGCGTCCACACGCGTCCACACACACACTCTGCTATGAGATGGTCATGTGACAAGTATTTTTTTTCTTTCTCATTCAGCAAGAAACTCCATTTAACCCGATGGCTTTGTCTGGCTAGTCATTGGTGACCGGGATGAGACCATCGACCCGCTACACTTTTGTCATGGGCGGTTGGATCCTGGATGTGATCCCAGGATCATGGCAGTGTAAGCTCGATGTGCTGTGACCTCTTAGCCACCAAAGACAAAGAGCTTTCATATCGCCTTAACAAATTGCTCTGGCAAGTGCTGTTAGCGAGCACCTATGGAGACCAGCATGGCACATGAGGGGGTTGGTGGCCAGCATCACACCCGATCGCCTGTCTCCCAACTGGTGATGTTTACACATTGCATCAGGTACTCATTTAAGGTTGAGACGACCTAGGGGAGGCCCAGGACTGGTTCAGCTATTTTCACTGGTGTTGGCCATGAGGGGGAATTGAACTCGGGTCGCTGGGTTCATAGTGCAGCGCGCTAAACTCTGCGCCCACCGCTCCCTACCGGGACCCCTTGTAACATACGATGCTTGCAAGCGGAAAAATTGTGCTGCAAAGTGAAAATAATCTTTGCGTGCAGGTCGGGTGCGAAGATGGATCTGTGAAGATATTCACTGTGAACATAGAAGGCATCCAGTTTGAGAAAAATCTTGAACTTCAGAAAGGTATTCGCCCCCTTCCCACCCACATAACATAAGCACATGGCTGGTAGAGTGACCGACTGAGTGGGTTCATGGTGCAGTGCAATAACCACGGTTACTTTAAATCGGGGTGGTTAGTTGGTTCGTGCTACTGTCAATCCACTGCTGGATGACGGGGGCCCCCCCATGCATTTGTCAGTCACGGGCTTCTTTGACAATACTTCACACTGGTCAGTGCGGTTTAGTGAGGAATGGCATGCACTCGGAGGCCGGTTCAGATATCACTCGCTGCTAATGTTAGACGTGGCCGGGAATTGAACTTGGGACCCTGGCGTCAAAGAGCAGCGTGCAAACCACTGCGCTGCCGTTACAACCAAATCTAATTTATAATAATGCCGATGAACACGCACGTGTGAGTTTAGATGAACTGTGCACAGAAAAGTGTGGAGATGTGCACGCTGGGAATTACACTTCTGCCAATACGTGGCGAGGCCTTCACTTTTTCCCCTTGTTTTACTTTCGCCATTTTGGTGACCCCAGCTCACTCTTGCAAATGAGACGTTACTCCGTGTCTCTTAAATTTCTCCCCCAGGTTAAACAAAATAAAAGCTTGGGGCACTTCATCTCTTCAGTACTCGTGAATGGCGATTCAGCGCCGTAGCCGTGGCGCGTCGGCCCTGCCCTCGAGCGCCGTCTTTGTGTCCCCACGCAGGTCGCGTCGTCTCCATTGCGTGGCACCCGTCGGGCGCAAGGCTCGCCACCGGCTCCCTGGACAACATCCGAGTCTTTGACGTCAACTCTGGTACACTGGGACCGCGTTTCTCGCTTCGTCCCCTCGCGTCGTGCCCTGCGGAAAGTCGATCGTTTGCCTCGTCCGTGCAACGTCTGATGATTAGTGTTTGATTTATGTGCGAGAGAGCGAGCGAGTGAAGGAGCGGGTAGATGAATGGTTGGGTGACCGAGTGGGTGACAAGAGTCAATGGATGGATGAGTGAGTGATTATATGGATGGGGGGTGGGGGGGGTGTGCCGAGTGAGTGAATGAATGACATAAACGGATGTGCGAGCGAGTAAACGAGATTCTGCAGGAATCGGAGAGTGAACGAGATGGCAAGCGTGCAATGGGGAGTGCAAGTTGGTGAGTGAGCCAGTGACGCACAGCGAAGACTAATTGTTTTGACTGAATGAAGATCCGGCGAGCAATCGCACGAGCAGGCGAGCGAGCGAGTAAACTGCGAGAGCGGAAATCCTCGACCGAGCGCACAAGCAAACGATCGCACGGTCTCCCGACTTTCACCGGCGTGGAACGCAGGTCGCTGCACGCAACGAATGGTGGTGGGGCGGCGTAGCGGCAGCGTGGTGAACCAGGAGACGGTGGTGTGGGCCGTGGCGTTCCTGACGGACGGCACGGTGGCCGGCGCCGAGTCGTCGGGGCGGCTGCAGCTGTGGGAGGCCGAGCACGGCACCCTCGTGCGCGGCTTCACGCTCGGCCAGGCCGACATCTTGTCCCTCGCCGTCGAGCAGGTGTGGTGAGACGCCTGGTTGGTGACCGACCTCCCTCCTCCTCTTCTCTCTTCCTTCCCCGTCCTGGATCCTCTTTTCTGCTACTGTGGGGGGGGGGAGAATCGATTGCCCATTTCGCCCTTCTCCTTCGGTTCCGCCGTGGTGCGCGATGGGGCGTTGTTGGTGCGATTGGATGTATGTAGAACTTCTTTCGCACAGTACATAGCCAACTGTGCTAATGAGAAATGCGGGGGAAGGGCAAAAACTAAACACAAAAAGCAGTTCTACAGAAATGGGTTTTCAATCTGGATCATTTAAAAGTGCTTAGCTCCAGTGGCTTCCTAATATCGGAAGAAATAACATTATAGTCGGCCGCAGAAGCGTATCTGAAAAAGCGCGATGTAGTGACCGTCTTTGTATGTCCGCACGAACGTACGTCTGTACGTACTTTTAACTTCTTTCGCACCATACGCAGCCAACCGTGCTGATCGGAGGTGCGGGATTAACTTGCCGTCGCATGCCGCCCCCCCTCCCCCTCGACTCCACCACCGCAGGATGAGACCAGCATGTTCGTGGGCACGAGCGACGGGCGCGTGGCGCAGCTTCAGCTGGTGGAGTCGAGGGTCGACGCGGCCGCGTGGGTGCGGACCAAGACCTTCAAGTACCACACCCACGACGTGCGCGCGCTCGTGCTCAGCGGCAACGCTGTCATCTCCGCCGGTACGACACCTCGGGCCGACCAACGATGAGTGCCGCTTCACGCGGAGGTTTTCTAAGTCGCTTGGATCTCAAGTGCGCGTTTTTGTTTTCCCCTACTCCAAGTTGGGCCGCGCGTTGAGCGTTTCCTCTCTTCCGCCGAGCTTTTGCCACACGCTACCATGGGCTCCTTAACGAGTTGAATTATCCTGCGGGAGCTGAATTTAGATTTGGTTTGCGGGCCTCGGTTTCAAAGTGTTAAGCCTCGTCTATGAAATTAACCCGTGGGTCTTAGGTTCCTCACGGCTAACTTATTCTAAAATAATAAAAATAAAACAATAATTATATCCCTTCTACGTGACTTTACCGAAAGAACCAAGAATATGAATCCCTGCAGTCACGAAAGCTTTAAATCGAAATTTAACTTTTTCTAGTCGTGTTTTGTTTAACTGGGCAGGAATTCGAGAGACCAGGATTAGTCTCATTTGCAAGAGTTAACCTGGGTTTGCGAACATCACAAAAGCAATAACGCTAAACAAAGGACAGCAAAAAACGGAGAAAATACAACCAAAGAGAAATCGGAGATAATCCTAAGCGATGCCCAATTAATATGATACGGGATTCCATTTCCTGCGCTCGCACGAATTAATTTTACAAAACCGTCCATGGTAACGTTACCTTGCAGAAACATCAAAATGGATTCGGTCGCGACGATTGTACGAGAGCACGAGCGAGCGGACAGGGATGTGCGTTGAACACATCGCGTCTCCGCCGCTGCTAAATATGATCCCCCCCCCCACCCCCGTGTGTGATGATGGACGCGCCAGGCCTGGACGCTCAGGTAGTCGTGCGTCCGCTCATGGAGAGGATGGACGGCCCGTCGTACGAGGCCGCGCTTCGCAGGATCCTCTTCCCCCACGTGAGTGTGGTGTCGCCGGTGGCGTTGCGCCGGTCTCCCGGTCTCTCACCCCCTCCCTCCTGCTCGCTCGGAAACCCCCGTGGCACCAAACCTACTCAACGAGGTCACCACAAAAGCGACGTCGTCGTGGTCGTCTTTGCGTAATTGCTACGTCATTTCAGCTCGTAACATGCCCTGGGTCGCCAGGTGAAATGCAGTGTGGGAAAACCCACGCCTTGCACGAAGTGGCAATACAATCGCCGTACAGATGGAAACGGATGGAAATCGGTCCACTTGCCGTTTCCGCCTTCTCCTGGCGAGCGAGGGTGTGTACGACACCTTCTTGACGCCCACGGGGAAAGGAGTTTCGCGACATCCGTACGGCGATCCGCCAACCCTCGCTCCCGCCTACCGCGGCGCTGGCTCACCGCGTGCGCCACCGCCCCCTCGCCTTGCGCCCGCTCGCTCGCCGACCGTGCGTTGTGTCTCCCGCAGCGACGCCTGGTGTCGTGCGCCAAGAAGGCCGGGCGACTCCTCTTCCAGTTCCCCCGGCAGCTGGAGCTGTGGTCGCTGGGCGACACCGACTCGTGCACCGGTAAGCCGGGACTCGCGCCGCCCTCCCTGTGCCGGACGGCCCGCCCGCCGTGTGCAACGACGCGACACTGCCATCGCGAGTGCTTTGTACACCGATTGCCGCGCTGTACGGACGAGTCCTGGCGAGGGCGAAACCAGTCCACGGGGTTGTACCGCTGTTGGGACAGGTCGTCGTTTTTCCCAAAAAAATTTGAGTCGCTGTTCTAAACAACAACCACAGCCGCACGTTCAGCTCTTTGAGCCGGTGGTCTGCCAAAGGGCTGCGGGCATTCTACGTGCAGTGCGGTGGTGGTCACGTGACATGCGTGCAAGGCATGCTGGGGGTTGTTGTTTTCGCGCTGTTTGTGAGCGGCGCACCTTTGTTGTTGAGTCTTTATCTTGCAGCCTGCATGGAGGTTTAGGGAGTGTTGGACGTAGCACTGTTTAGCATCTAAGCATCCGAGTCCACATCCAAGCACGCTGCACAGATACAGGTGGGGGGAGGTGGGGGTTGGCTATGTATGGTGCGAAAGAAGTTCAACGTACATACACAAGCGGCGTCGCTTTTGTGTAAGTATTACGTAGTTTCAACTCGTAACGCTCCGCTGGCGGACAACTCGTATCGCGTGACGAGGAACGACAGACGAGCGGCTGTCCGAGCTCTGCGCTTCTCGACATATTTTAAGGTGTTATCGGCCAATTAATGAGTGTGTGTTACTTGTGGGAGGAAATCGGAGCACCCGGAGAAAATCCACAGATGGGGGAGAGGGGGGGGAAGGTGTACGGGGGACAGACGTGCATCTTGAGATGATTTGAGGAATGTGGGAATTTTTGTTGTTGTAGTTAGGAGAGAATGTGGTGCAGCGGCTCGCCCATTGTGCTTTGAACGCGATGGCCCCGAGTTCGAATCCCGTTCCCTTCCCATTCCATTCCCGGCCACGGTTGCCAGTATCGGAACCGATCCTGGGTGCCCCCCCCCCCCAACCCGATTCACCAGTACGGTCACAACAACCTCCACGCTACGCGTGTTCATACCCACACAGAGTGGGGAGGCGCTCATTCAGTGGTAGATTGACAAAGCGACTGTACTTGTGGATGGGGCGGTGAGCCACCACGCTTGGACGTAACCGCCACACCGTCCTCCATTGCCGCAGGAAAAGCTGAGTCCCAGAGTGGAAACGGAGCGCCCCTGTGGATGTGTGCATGCCATCGAAGTCGGGTTTTGGCATATTTGAGTAACTCTTTGTAATGCTTACGCTTGTTTACCCAGGAAAGCCTCGCCGAGTCCCATGACTCTTAATTCGGGAGGGTCCCACCAAGGTTTGGCAGTAGAGGGCTGACAATTGCTTTCCATCACCTCATCGCAATGGAGTAATCCGCTGTGTAATTTTTTTGTTACCACGACACCTTCATAAAGTGGCCTATTCTTGCGAATGAGGGGAGGGAAGGGGGGTGATCCGTAGCGTCCCAACTGTGAAGTAGCCCACGCCGGTTGCATATTTATACAGTTCACGCAAACGCCGCGGTAACATTAATCGGGGTGGCTGCTGGACTTGAACCGTGGACGCCTGCAACAAGCGGCGAATGTATCGACGCGGCTGCCCCGTAATGAAGACGACGCGTGTGTGTGTATGTGTGGCTCTTGTCCCGCAGCCCGGGGTCAGGACGGAGACGTCCTCCCCGTCACGAAGCAGCCCGTGAAGCTTCTGCAGCTCAAGTGCAAGGTGAGCGGGCGGGAGAGGTGGCGGCGGCGGAAGCGGCTTGTGTAACTAACGCACGAATCTTCTTGGGTTTTTTCGGTAAAGTCACGTAAAAGGGAAATAATAAAATAATAAAAATAAAACAATAAAATAATTCTCACGACGTTTCGGCCACAACGCAAGCAGCCTCAGACGCTGTCTTTCCGACAGACCTGTTCTTCACCTGAGGACGGCTGCTTGCGTTGTGGCCGAAACGTCGTGAGAATTATTTTATTATTTCCCTTCTACGTGACTTTACCGAAAGAACCAAGAAGATGAATCCCTGCAGTCACGAAAGCTTTAAATCGAAATTTAACGCACGAATGCCACCTGGTGGCCAGATTTTGTGTCGCTCAGAACTAGTTTTTGTGTCTTGGGATATTGCGGCTATGAAATTGTCCAGACCTCTACGATCGCCACGAGCTCTATTGCGGCCGCCGCAAGCTCGACGAATTTACGATCGTCACGATCTCTCGTGCCGTGGGTTTTGCGGCGTTGCAGGACGACGAGAACGTTGGGTGCAGCGCGGTGTCTCCGTGTGGCACGTGGCTGGCGTACGGCACGACGGAGCGCGTGCGAGTCTACAGGCTTCACGAGAGCGGAGGCGAGGGCCCAGTCATCAGCAAGGTGAGAGGCGGCCACCTCGTCGCGGCGCCCACGACCGTCTTTGTCGTCGTCATCGGCAGCGATGCAACTGGAGCCATTGTCATGACAGCAGTGATTACATCATCAATCTATCAATGATATCGTGATCGCAGGAGTTGATCTTAATCACCAATACTTCCGGTCATCCTCGCATGGGCTTTTGACTCGCCATCGAATGACGACACTGCATCACGCGCTTTCGGATGCGCTTCTGCATTTTATAAATGTAAATTGAAAACGAATTTATTTAGAGCTGCTGTTTTTGTTTAGTTTGTTGTCCTTTCCCCGCACCTCTGATTCAGCACGGTTGGCTACGTACGGTGCGAAAGAAGTTCAACATGCTTGCATGTCGGCCGTGACTCCACATCGCTGCTTTGACCTTTAACATCGCGATGACAGCAAGTGCCTGACATCCGAACCAACAACCCCCATGACGGACAGGGCATGGCCGATACCTTCATCCGGCAGTGGATGGACAAAGGGTTCTAAGTTATTTGTCACATCATTCCTAAGGATAATGTTAAAATATTGAAGCAACTAAAACGCCCCACGTTTGTAGACGACTCGCCGAGCTCGGCACAAACTAAATCGACCGCTGCCACCTGCTCAGGCTCTCCACGTTGGTACGACTCGCCCGCCCGCCCGCTCGCTCACTCACTCTCGTGCGCGCCTCGTGAACCTGTGCAGGTTGGGGGGCTGCCGTGCGCAGCGAGGGGGGCCCACCAGCTGGCGTTCTCGGCCGACTCGTCCCGCCTCCTCGTCGCAGGGGACACGGGCACCCTCCACGTGGTCGCCCTCGGCGCCAGGCGCCCCAAGCTCCTCCACTCATTCACCCCGCCCAACGGTCAGAGCCGCCGGATGGGTGATGGGTGTCCACCACTATGCAGGGTGATGGGTGTCCACCACTATGCAGGGTGATGGGTGTCCACCTCTCGGCAGGGTGATGGGTGTCCACCACTCTGCAGGGTGATGGGTGTCCACCTCTCTGCAGGGTGATGGGTGACCACCTCTTTGCAGGGTGATGGGTGTCCACCGCTCGGCAGGGTGATGGGTGTCCACCACTCTGCAGGGTGATGGGTGTCCACCTCTCTACAGGGTGATGGGTGTCCACCACTCTACAGGGTGATGGGTGACCACCACTCTGCAGGGTGATGGGTGTCCACCTCTCTGCAGGGTGATGGGTGTCCACCACTCTGCAGGGTGATGGGTGTCCACCTCTCTGCAGGGTGATGGGTGTCCACCACTCTGCAGGGTTATGGGTGTCCACCTCTCTGCAGGGTGATGGGTGTCCACCACTCTGCAGAGTGATGGGTGTCCACCACTCTGCAGGGTGATGGGTGTCCACCACTCTGCAGGGTGATGGGTGTCCACCACTCTGCAGAGTGATGGGTGTCCACCTCTCTGCAGGGTGATGGGTGTCCACCTCTCTGCAGGGTGATGGGTGTCCACCACTCTGCAGGGTGATGGGTGTCCACCACTCTGCAGAGTGATGGGTGTCCACCACTCTGCAGGGTGATGGGTGTCCACCACTCTGCAGGGTGATGGGTGTCCACCTCTCTGCAGGGTGATGGGTGTCCACTGGCCATAGTCAGTTGGGGATGTGTATTGATTTGCGAGCTGTAGCGGGGCGGGTGGGAAAATCCTGCTGCCCCCCCCCCCCCCTACTCTGTGGATCAGGGAGCTCTGTGCTATGCACTCCCTGTGGGCCGTTCTCTTAACACGGGGTGATGCACCGCTCTTCAACGTGACACGTTCACTCGGCCAGCCAGTCGGTGTCTGCGCTCGCCAGGAGTTTGTCAACATTTTGATGATGTTTTTGGCTGGGCCGCCATCGAAGTGAGGGGCGGATATGTCTTGTCGCCACAATTGTATCCCAAGTTGCTGTAGGTTTCATGCCAAGACGAAAGAATCGATTCGGACGTGTCGGCCCATGTAAGCAGATCCCCTCTCCAAGGGACTTCTGATGCAGAGAGTAGGGGACGGGCAGCACTGGGCCCGAGGAATAACGTTCATCGCACGGGAGTCAAAAATGGCTGTTGTCAATTCACACGCCGCATTGTGGCGACGACGATTTAATATCGACGATTACGGCCATGATCCTGTCTGGTGGGATGTTTGTGGTCGTGATGACGGTGATCACGGTGATGATGCTTCTGGAGATTTTTATGGTTCTCGTGACCGTGATGATGACAATGCTAATGACGGTCGCGTGCCCGACGCACGCAGGCTCGGTGGAGCCGATCCAGCTGCTGGCGGTGAGTGAGGACGGGGAGTGGGTGGCGACTGCCGCCTGCGACCGGGCCGTCCACGTCTACAGCCTGAGCAAGTTCCGAGTGAGTCCCCGGTGACGCCACCAATGACCCCCCCCCTCCCAACCCTTACAACCGCTTCCGCCCCCACAACCGCGATCACGCTTCTGCTGCACCGCCCATCATCCCCACCACCACCACCACCGCCGCCACAAAGACAAAGGTCCCCTGTATAGCCTTGACCGACTGTTGGGGCAAGTCCTGTTTGCGAGTACCCTATGAAGGTCGGCACGGCACACAAGGGGGTGGGTGGCCAGCACCACGCCGGCCGCCTTTGTCTCCCGAGTGGCGATGTTTTTACGCACCGCACGAGGTCCTCATTTAAGGCTGAGTCGACCTAGGGAAGGCCCAGGACCGGTTTAGATAATCGTCGCTGGTGTTGGCCGTGAGCGGGCATCGAACTCGGGTCGCCGGGTTCGTAGCGCAGCGCGCAAACCGCTACACTGCCACCACATCATCCGCGCGCCACGACCAATTTCCAACCACGGCCACCGACGGGTGTAAATCGCGGCGACGCACCGGCCGTGGCGACGTTTGTTGGGCTGAGAGGTGTGCACCGTGCAGGACCCTCGTCCACACGGTCGAACCCAGGGGGGGTCGGCAAACCTGCAGCTCTTCGGGGAACTGGTCCAGTGGCGTTAACTTATTTATTAAGGACCACCGCCTTTCTCGTAGTCACCACACGGTGCATCGTGGATCTTGAAATATTGAGTTTGGTTGTTTTTTTACCGATTTCGAAACAAATGGCTCGTTCTTGTTGTTTTGGTTGCCGGATCCACCTGGTCTAACCACTGCTGACCGATATCACGAGTCATGGTCTAGCCACTGCTGGAGATATGATGAGCCCAACACTGGAGAACACCCATGACTAGTGGCAGCACTCGAGTAGAGAGGGACCACAACCACTCTGCTGCCACAACCGTCATCCCCACGGCAACCACATCGTCACAACCACGTGTTCACGACGCAACCGCTCTCCTGACACGGCCACAACCGCTCCTCCCCACACCGACGTCACCCCATCCCAACCGCTCTCCTGCCAGAGTCAAGATCCTCGCCGTCGTAGTTCCTCCGTGGTGTTCATTGGACCACGACTTGCGTCTTGCACTCCTGCTTGTACGATCTCAAGTGCGTTCCGTTGTAATGTTAAACTTGCTGCTGCTTCTTCTCCCACCCCCACCCCCCGCCTCCCGCCAGCACCACTGCGCCCTGCCGATGTACGGCTCCCAGCCGTGCGCCATCGCCATCGCGCCCGGCACCAACAACGTCGTCGCAGTGCACGCCGACCACCAGGTCCCCCGCGCCACCACCACGCGCCACCACCACGCGCCACCACCACGCGCCACCACCACGCGCCACCACCACGCGCCACCACCACGCGCCACCACCACACGCCACCACCACGCCCCACCACCACGCGCCACCACCACGCGCCACCACCACGCGCCACCACCACGCGCCACCACCACGCGCCACCACCACGCACCACCACCACGCTCACCCAGCGCTCGCACCCAGACCGGCTACTCCCGCTGAGACCGATAACTCCCACCGAGTACTCCCACTGAGACCGATAACTCCTACTGAGTACTCCCACTGAGACCCAAACCTCCCACTGCGTACTCCCACTGAGACCCAAACCTCCCACTGAGTACTCCCATTGAGACCCAAACCTCCCACTGAGTACTCCCGCTGAGACCCAAACCTCCCACTGAGTACTCCCACTGAGACCCAAACCTCCCACTGAGTACTCCCACTGAGACCCAAACATCCCACTGCGTACTCCCACTGAGACCCAAACATCCCACTGAGTACTCCCACTGAGACCCAAACCTCCTACTGAGTACTCCCTCTGAGACCCAAACCTCCCACTGAGTACTCCCACTGAGACCCAAACCTCCCACTGAGTACTCCCACTGAGACCCAAACCTCCCACTGAGTACTCCCACTGAGACCCAAACCTCCTACTGAATACTCTCACTGAGACCCAAACCTCCTACTGAGTACTCCCACCGAGACCCAAACCTCCCACTGAGTACTCCCACAGAGACCCAAACCTCCCGCTGAGTACTCCCACCGAGACCCAAACCTCCCACTGAGTACTCCCACAGAGACCCAAACCTCCCGCTGAGTACTCCCACTGAGACCCAAACCTCCCACTGAGTACTCCCACAGAGACCCAAACCTCCCACTGAGTACTCCCACTGAGACCCAAACCTCCCACTGAGTACTCCCACAGAGACCTAAACCTCCCACTGCGTACGCTGACTGAGACCAAGTACGTTCACTGAGACGCAGAACTCTCACCGAGTACTAACACTGAGACTCCTCAGTACTCCCACTGAGACCGACTTAAACACTCAAGACTCAAGTTGAGACCACGACTGACTCGGTCGTGGTCGAGCAACTCCTCTAGCCTAGCCCCCCCACCGCCTTCTCTCACGATCCTGCGATGTAGCAATCCGCCTGGCGCCCGCACACGGACCGATTGTCGTCGCTCCGTCTCCCCGGTGGACGTGTCCTCCCCTCTGGGATGCACGGTGGAATGCGTAAAGCCTACTCTTAGGTTTTTTCGGTAAAGTCACATAGGTAAAAAATAAAATAAAAATTAATAAAAGTAATAATAGAAATAAAATAATAAATCAAAGCTTCCGGGCGCTTTGCGCGTTCGCCCTGGGTTCGTTAACCCCCCCCACCCACCCTTCTCTGCCCCTCTCCCTCCTCCCCCCGGCGTTAGGTGTTTGAGTTTGGCGTGCGGGAGAAGCAGTACACGGAGTGGAGTCGCCGGCAGCGGAAAGCGGGGCTGCCCGCGAACTGGCAGCGGCGCGACACGCCCGTCACGCACATCGCCTTCCACCCCGCGCGGGCCGAGCTGCTGTTGCTGCACGACGCGTACCGCCTCGTCGTCATCAGCACGGAGGAGGCGAGCAGTCGACCCACCTGCTTCCCCCTCCCTCGCTCGCTCCTCACCCCGCTTCACACTTCACCCTCGCTTCCCTCCCCCCTTTTCCTACCTTAATCCCCCATCTCGCTTCTACCTCGCTTCCCAATTGCTTCACATTCGCTACCCCCCCCCCTCCCCCACCCTTGCTTTGCCCTCGGTTCTGCCTGGTTTTCCTCCTGGCTTTCACCCTCCCTCGAGCGGACGGCCCCCAACTTCATGTGGGTAGACTCTTGTGCGGCGCGGCAATCATCGGCGTGGCCAGGCTGCGAGGCCATCGACTCCGCCACCCTTGAGAACCCAGTTTTAACCACAGGCAGTGGCCGTAACCTGGATTAGAACCCAGGATCTCGGCGTCTCGGACATCCTGAGCCACCCATCCTCATCGCTCAGGGCGACGCCCACGATACGGAGCCGAGCGGCTCATAGAGTCCTTGCTGCCGAAATTAAATCGAAATTTTAAAAAATCCTTATAAACCCAGAATCCATGTCTTAATCTTTTTCTCGACTGCTGGAGGAATCCGATTAACTATTGAAGTTCGTTTTTACGGATGTCCAGTGTGGCCCGGTTGGCAAGTTACAAAAGCAAATATAAAAAAAACGCAATTATCTGCTAATTGCATTGTCCTTGTCCTCTTTGCCTTTTGGTGTTCACTGGTGGTGAGACTCGGCCATAAAGAAGTCTGTCTCTGGTATAGGCCAATCAGTTTCAAAGGCAATGCATCACATGTTATCAGAGCATGGTTGTTTGCATGATCAAGTACTGCGTGTGGTTAATGCAGGCTTAACTCCTCGCGAAAAGGTATCTTATTTGGTGTTTCAACGTTTGAACACCTGTTTTATTGCCAGAAAGGGTTAAACCTACTCCTAGGTTTAATATAAATAATGAGGGCGTTAATTATATAAGTCCGATTCATCAGGATTTGGCGACGCAGCAAAAATCAACAACGAAACAGTCCCAGACCACACCAAGATAGCACACAGCAGTAGTCCCTTAATGGTTGACAGTGTCAGTGATTCACTTTAATTATTTCCCCCCCCACCCCTCCCCCTATGTCCCACGCAGACGATGGACTCGATGAAAGAATGCAAGAAGTACCAGGTGAGTGTCCGCAGTCTTTTGGATTGAATTGTGCCGCGGTAGTGAGATGTTAACTTCCTCGCCTGGTCCACAGGAGATCATGGATTCGATCCTGACGCTGATACCTGCTGCTGTATATTTGGAGTTTGCGTGTCTCTCTCTCTCATCATCATCACGGTGGCTAGATGTTAAATACCTCGCCTGGTGTACAGGAGGTCGTGGGTTCGATCCCGACCCTGACGCCTGCTGCTGTATATTTGGAGTTTGTGTCTCTCTCCCTGTGGTTGTGTGGATTTTTCTCCGGGTCCTCCGGTTTTTCCCATCACATTTAGAAACGTACGTGACGAGCATTTGGCTGCTATACATTTCCACATGATAAGCCACTTCGTTGACCTATCATTTGTGGCCCGGTCGCTTCTGAAAAAAGAGCTGTATAGCTCATATCGGCCTTACCTGAGGACGGCTGCTTGCGTTGTGGCCAAAAACGTCGTGAGAATTATTTTATTATGTTTTATTTTATTATTTTATTATTTCCCTTCTACGTGACTTTACCGAAAGAACCAAGAAGATGAATCCCTGCAGTCACGAAAGCTTTAAATCGAAAAATAGACATTGTTTTAGTTTACTTTAAATGTGATTCTGCCTGTAAACGTGGTGGCAGCGTGCGTGTTGGCTGCCATACAGAGAGGCAGAGCCCTGGACCAAATCACGTGAAGTCGCCCAACTTCATCAAATCTCGGAAGCTTAGCAGAGTCGAGCCCGGATAGTGGGCTGCTGAGGGGCTACGTTGAGGGAGCAGTGGACATTACAGCAAAATCCATCGTTGTACTGCACCTCTGTGTTCCAACTAGAGGCCGACCGAAATTTGGTTTCGGCGCCGAAAGTTGGCAAATGGCCTTTTTGGCATATAGTTTCGGTTTCGGCTGAAAGTACATTTTTAACTTTCGGTCTGGTTTCGGTTTCGGCAGAAACCAGAAATTAGTTTTTGGCCGAAACCAGAAATACGGTTTTGGCCGGCCTCTAATTCCAACGTCTGTCTTCGCCACCTTCACCAACCCACCCCGACCAGCGTGGTGAAGTATGGTCAAACCCACACCACCCACTTTTCCCTCCGCTACCCACCACCTCTATAACGCCACAGCCCCGTGGTGGCAACCTGTGGGGTGCAGCCGCGGTGTTCGCCCGTACGAGCACTCTCCAGGCTTTAACCTGTTTGGCTTCTGAGATGTGACGAGGCTGCGTCCATTCTGGGTGATCTGCTCGTGCATCATCGCGGCGTTGTAAACTTGAAACGCGTTGCGTTCGTGCAAAGTTACAATCCGGGCGTGGCGCTCACCCCCCCCCCCTCTCGTGCGCCGTGCCCGGAGCGTCATCGGTGCTCGCTGAAGTCACTTGCTCCCAAACTCTCTGTTCGGGCTGTACGGGGTTTTTTTGCCTTTGTAGTTAGCATGCTGTAAGCCGCTCAACATATCCATTTGTCCCCATCAGCCACTGCTCTACCTGGACGTGCTGCACGGCGGAGACTCGCTGGTGGTGGTGGAACGACCTCTGACCTTCATCCAGGCCCACCTTCCTTCCGCCGTGCGGCAAAAGAAGTTTGGAACCTAAACGAAAAGCACAACGAGCGGAGGGAATGTCAACAGTCTCTGCAAGCTACGCGGATTGGACGCTGCCAAAACCGCCCACGTACGACGAGACAAGCCGCTCTTTTATAACGTTTTCCGCGCCGCCTCTGCCCTGCGGCACGTCGTATCTGATCTGCTGCTCACACGGAGAGAGAGCCCGCGAGTTGAGATAACAAAAAATAAGCACGTTTTCAAGTTGACGTGCGGCTCCCCACCTCCACTCCCCGGACTTACGCGTCTCGTTTTGAGACGCGTAACAAATGACAAGCAGCAGCACAATCGAGGCGGTCACAATGCCGATCGTTTTTCGCATCATATCGATAACGTTAATCGAATCGTCTGTAATGTGTAAATCGTCACGGGAGCGTTGATGGGGCGTTCGGCCCCATCACGCCTCGTCGCGGAGTGTCAAGAGTAGAGTCTAATATAAGCGCAACTCTTGTTGTACCTCCACATATAAATAAAATTATGTTTTAGTCCATCAGTCTATCGGCTATCCAGATCAATATTATCCAGCAGCAGCATTTGTTTAAGCAACAAAACTCTCTAGACTGTTTTTTTTATCTTCTGGGTCTGTAATTTTTGGCAACCCAGAAGCATTTGCTTAAGAAGCCTGGCTCTGCTGATGCGATCCAAGAGGTCAAAACCAGTACACAATTTTCTTGCTTAAATTACCTGAAATAAGACCGATGGACTCAAACTAATTTGCTACGTGGAGACGCGAAATGGCGTTCTTTGCTTTTACCAACAAATTCCGCACAATATCGCGTCTCTGTGTCGTTGTGTGCGTGCGTAAGCACGCAACGACACAGAGACGCGTGCGAGGGCAGAGCGTTTTATAAATCCCGTGTCCCCCTCATTCGTTTTGTCGTCCGGCTCGGTTATTTTTTTTGTTTCGAGAATTTGTCGGGATTTGTACGTTGGAGAGGGGGGGGGGGGGGGGGGGGAACGGGATCGTGGGGTCGCGCTGCCACGCTGGGACCTGTCGGTTTGCTCGAGAGAAAGAGATAATAAAACTATTCGCTTATCTTCCAACGCGCCGCTTCTCCTCGCTTCACTGGCGCTGTGGGGGAAAGTCCGTGTGTGCACACCGGTGGTGGTGGTGGTGCATCCTGGGAGGTGAACTTTATAATATAAAAGGCAAAGGTGCAGCCCTGGAATTGCTTGCTCGTGCCACTGTTCGAAGGTTCCTCCACCAGAGGGAGATCTGTAGAGCCCCTCTATCAGAAGCTTCCTCGACTAGAGGGAGATCTGTAGAGCCGCTCTATCAGAAGCTTCCTCGACTAGAGGGAGATCTGTAGAGCCCCTCTATCAGAAGCTTCCTCGACTAGAGGGAGATCTGTAGAGCCCCTCTATCAGAAGCTTCCTCGACTAGAGGGAGATCTGTAGAGCCCCTCTATCAGAAGCTTCCTCGACTAGAGGGAGATCTGTAGAGCCCCTCTATCAGAAGCTTCCTCGACCAGAGGGAGATCTGTAGAGCCCCTCTATCAGAAGCTTCCTCGACCAGAGGGAGATCTGTAGAGCCCCTCTATCAGAAGCTTCCTCGACCAGAGGGAGATCTGTAGAGCCCCTCTATCAGAAGCTTCCTCGACTAGAGGGAGATCTGTAGAGCCGCTCTATCAGAAGCTTCCTCGACTAGAGGGAGATCTGTAGAGCCCCTCTATCAGAAGCTTCCTCGACTAGAGGGAGATCTGTAGAGCCGCTCTAGCAGAAGCTTCCTCCACCAGAGGGAGATGTCTAGAAGTAGGTCCCTCTACGAGAGGGGCTCTGTAGGGTCCATCTGGGAGTATTTTCAGAATATAGAACTCTTCCACGCTGGTCAGACTAATTTAACGAGGTGGGAGTCCCCACATTTTATGCCGTCACCTGCCGATCGACTCGGGTTACAAATGTAGTGCCGATTACTTTTGGACCGTATGCGGCGGGTTGTGAAATGTCCTTGGTGGTGGTCGGATTTCTGAATAACAATGCAAACGGTTTAATTGTCGTCACAGGATTGCCATTTGGAGGATGGTGGTTAGCGCACTTCACGATGAGCCTGTCAACCCAGGCTCGATTCCCACGCCGGCTAGCATCAGTGGCGAGTGACAACCTGAGCCGGAAGACCAGACCTACATCTGAACCGGTCCTGGGTCCCACACGAAGTGCGGTCAAAACAACCCCGATGGCCTTTTTGCCAGTATCAAAGTATGAACAATAATAGGGTTTATCCTTTCTGGCAATAAATCAGGAGTTGTGTTAAGATGTTAAACCACAAAATAGATAAGTTTAGCAAGGAATCATGCCCGCATTAACCACGCATAGTTATTGCGGTGAACATGCAATCAAACTCTGATAATATATGCATTGTCTTTGAAACTGATTGGCCTACACCAGAGACAGCCTTCATCCAGCAGTGGATTGAGCAAAGGGATCTGCTGCATGAATAATTGAAAGTCTCTCTGTCGCCACGGAGGCTTTGTTTGGACACTGGAGCAACTTTGCCCAATGTCTTGAGCAAGGCGCTCGTGTTTTGTTTAGCGAGCTTGCCGGACAATAACTCACTTATACGGAGCCTAACTCTGTAAACTGCGGCAGTGGTTGACGTGCAAACTCAACACTCGACGCACGCGCGCGAGCACGCGGACACGTGCAGCAGAAATCCGCGGAGTCTCCACGTGGATCCGCCTCCTGTTGGGTGGGGTGTGGCACGCGGGGTCGTATTCGGCACGTCGAGCGCCGGCAAGTTTACACGAACACGTCCAGCTGGCGTTATATTAGCTATACAATTGTAGTGTCAGCGGAGGTTTTTCAGGAGCACCTTTCATAATGAGTTTTCTTTGGGTTAGATCGCGTAAATATATAAATGTGTCGTTAAAACCCGCAACCACCCGACAGCCAACTAGTAAGGTTTGTCACGTAAACAGAACGTGGCCATATCGTCACTAGTACAGCACTAGTGTGTAGTGTATAGTATAGTGTATCATAGTGTATGGTGTAGTGCATTGTGTAGTGTATAGTGTAGTGTACTAGTACAGCATCACCAGTGTGTTGGAGAGCCAAGCCACAACATTTACTATGAGTACGACGGTTCACCAGTAATTACAACTAGCTTAAATTACTGGCAAAACGTCGTAATCAGATTGTTGTGGCTTGGCTCTCCAACACACCGGTGATGCTGTACTAGTACACAACACTATACACTACACAATGCACTACACTATACACTACACTACTATACACTACGATACACTACACTATACACTACACACTAGTGCTGTACTAGTGACAAATTGGCATGTTCTGTTTACGTGACGACCCTTACTAGTTGGCTGTGTTGGGTGGTGGCGGGTTTTAACAACACATTTATATTTAGACTTAACTTTCGTGACAGCAGGAATTCATATTCTTAGTTCTTTCGGTAAAGCCACGTAAATAGAAATAAAAAAATAAAAGCAAAAAACCCACGACGTTTCGATCGCAACACAAGTGGTTTTCATCAGGCGGAGATTTATATATTTACACGCTCTAACCCCAAAAAACCTCTTTTGGATGATATTGGTCACGAAAGCCTACGTGTTAAAGCACCTTTATTAACGCCTTCAGGTTCACAGGTTCACCCTCCTACTCTCCTTAGTTGTCTAGCCGAGCCTTAACACAACCCTGACCGTGTAGCACCCACGGCGCCGACCGGGACAGCCACCAACTCTCCGGCCGCACAATATCTCGTGAAGACGACAGCGACGACGGGACGAGCCCACTCCCAGACCCGACAGCCCCGAGCTCCCGTTCTCCGCTGCTTTTATTCTACTCGGCACGGCCTGGCTCCGCCCTGGCCGCGTCTCCCTTCTCGAACCCACTAGCGCAGCGGTCGGGAACCTATGGCTTGCGAGCGCTATATGGCTCTTCTGGTGACAGCATATGGCTCCCAGACAATTTTGAGTTGAAAAAAATTATAATAAAAAAGTAAAAATAAAATCAGTTTGGAATTGATTTTAAAATACTTGTGATATTGCTTAATAATACTGTGTCATTTTAAAGTAAACAGAAATTAGTTTTGAAGATTAAATTTCTCGGGTCACGGGTCCCGTGACCAGAAGTCGCATTAAAAGTAAGACATTTAATTTATTAAACGTTAAAAATACTATATGGCTCTCAATGAAATATATTTAGAAATATTTGGCTTTTATGGCTCTCCCAGTCAAAAAGATTCCCGACCCCTGCACTAGCGGGTTCCAGGGGCCTCCAGATGAGGTCTTCTTTGACCCTTGCCCCAGTTCCTCCGTCCTGCCAGCACACACCCGCGTATATGCTCACCGGCGTGTGTACTGCTCGTCCACCGCAGTTGCCGTTGCTGGACAACAGTCGGCGCTCTTACACTACACAATTGACGAATAAAGTCGCAATTATTGGGGCGTGCACAGCCCGTTTGTCAATCGACTGATGGATGAGGGAGACAAAGGCGGTCGGGCGTGGTGTTGGTCACCCACCACCTCGTGTGCCGTGCCGGCCTTCATAGGTGAACGCTAAAAGCACTGGCCCCAATAGTCTGTTACAGGCTATACGGGGTATCTTTGTCTTTGTTTAAACCTGGGTAAAAAAAAATGCTATTAATCATTTGGTTTGCAGTTCACTCGCTCGTGAAGTTTGTGCGTGTCTAATTGTTTGTATGTTGAACATCTTTCACAGTGTACACAGCCAACCGTGCTGATCTGTGTGAATCTATGGGTCTCTTTGTGAGTCTATGGGTCTCTGTGTGACTCTGTGGGTCTCTGTGTGAGTCTGTGGGTCTCTGTGCGAGTCTGAGTTTCTGTGTGAGTCTATGAGTCTCTGTGTGAGTCTATGGGTCGCTTTGTGAGTCTATGGGTCTCTGTGTGAGTCTATGAGTCTCTTGAGTGAGTCTATGGGTCTCTCTGAGTGAGTCTATGGGTCTTTGTGTGAGTTATTCTTTCTCACCGTACGCAGGCAACCGTGCTAAATCGGAGGGTGCGGGTTGATAAAGCCGGGAGCAAAGTACATTAAAGCGGAATGTTTCAGCACCGTGCTCTCTTACCCATCATCATCATCATAATCGATTTACACGGCATTCCAACAACGCCGATGACACAGCACTGTGGAGGGCAGCTAGCGGGGGTAGGTGGATCACCGCACAGATGTTGCCAAACTCCCATCCCGTGGGTGTCGAGGGTGTACCGTACTTTATCTCGCCAGGAGAAGGCGGATACGGCAAAAGTGCGGGCTATTCTCCATCCGTTCCATTTGTACGGGATAGAGCGTTGCTCCCTCGCACGCGTGGGTCTTTCTCAGTGAGGCCAGTCTTCTTCTGTCGCATGCTCTGCCGATGTAGATGCAGAACAATGACCACGAATTCACATTCACGTGGGTCAAGCCAGACAACCGAGTGAGGAGCAACGGAGTGTATCCCCGTGATGTATGTGTGGATCGAGGGCCATTGCGTCGTTAGGGGCCGTCCATAAATGACGTCACGCGATTTTGGACGATTTTTGACCCCCTCCCCTCGTCACAAAAAGTCAGACCCCCCTCAACTATGACGTCACAAAGCTCTGTCCCCCCTCCAAATAAAACATGCTTCAAATCGCTTTAAACTATTGTCATTGTAGTGCGTATTCAATGTGGTGCTGCACTCTGATGTTGTAGGAGAAAACATTTATTTAAACGTCTATTTAATTAAGTAGAACGTGTTGTCTATATTTAATTAAAGTTGCGCATTTTGATGTGACGTCACATTTCTCACCCCCCCCCCCCTCCTCGTCACACATCGTCACAAATGTCTGACCCCCCCTAGGTGCGTGACGTCATTTATGGACGGCCCCTTATGCATTGTTACGGTCTGCTCTGGATGACCGCCAGTCGCACACCGGATAGTTTTTATTTCAATGTGTGCATCATCAAGGTGTCCGCATCTACCGCTGCTATGGTTTGTGCAGCGGATGTGGTTTATTGTGTACCGTGAACTTCGTAAAAGATGAAAACCCCAGGGACCTGCTGCTGTGTTGGCTCCTCGGCATCGTGTTTGGTAGCTCCTTTGAACTCCGTTCAGCCCCTCCAAGCTTCATCGGGATCGGTGAGACCGAGAGACTCGCATGGATACCCATCGACTCGCACGGAGATCGATACGAAGGAGGCATCGTCCCAGCGATAGACCAACTCAGCTGCTCTACGCCAACAACGACTACAGCAGCAGCAGTCATCGGAAGAACATTCGATCCTTTTGGCGGGACCCAGGGGTTAAACAATAATATAAACTGGCCGAGGCAATTAAACACATTCCTGCGGAGGGAGCTGGTAGGAACGTTGGGTTGCTCGGTCAATGGCCAGGGTCAACGGCGGCGTGGTGTATTCCGCAAATATGCCCGACTGAGGGTGGGCACAAGCCGGCGGGAGTAGGTTAAACGTTGAGTTTTATAAGGGCACCACGGGGTGACCAGCCCCTCCCCACCCAGCCCCACCCCTCCCACCCAGCCTCACCCTCCCCACCCAGCCCCTCCCCACCCAGCCCCACCCTCCCCACCCCTCCCCACCCAGCCCCTCCCTCCCCACCATCCCCTCCCTGCACGACAGACACAATAATCCCGTGGGCTGGTGTAACCAGGAGGTTCCGACCTGTAATATTTTTTTTCTGGGACACTATTTTTTTTCCAGGGGTGTTACTTAACTTCGCGACTGCGGTACCAATCGATCCGAAATCAGTGCCACTCCGCGATGTCGAAACGCCAAACATGAGCATAAAAAATCCGTTATCAAAAAATTCAACTTTGAACAGTGCATCGTGTACAGCTCGTCGAGATGAGTCGATTGCCGCATCGCCGACCACCAACAGACTAAACATGACTGCATCACGGAAAGGCCGTAATTATAATATATATTCAATATTAAAATATGCTAAAAATGCCCCCCCCCCTTCCCAATATATTGCTATGAAATAGATTTCTGTTTATGATTGTGGTTATGGGTGTACTTTATTAACCCCTCATCTCTGCCATTACATACGATGAAACAAGAAAAGGTAAAAATCAAAAAAACAGAGCAATGTAATACAATACACTATTAGACATTATTGTAAAAAAAAAAAAGTCCATCCTATGTGTTAGTGAATATTTTTTAGATTTTAGGCAGGAAATTAGTTTAAAAATTTAGATTTTTTTCTGGGGGGGACCCCTAAACCCCCTGGAAGATTTGGTCCCCCCCAATGTTGACTCCATGGCTACGGCCTTGCATCACGGACGAGAGCTGGGGCCCTACGGTGACCCCGGGATACCGCCATAAGGTTCACTTTATTCTGATCTTAAATAAAATAAGAATTCCATGGCCGAGCGCTCACGAGCCTGGCGCTAGGTTTCCGATTACGATCCGGGCCACGCGGGCCCGTGACGCCGGCACGAATGAGGTGACGTGGGGGGTGGGGGGGCAGACGTGGGGGGTGGGGGGGAGACGTGGGGGGTGGGGGGAGACGTGGGGGTGGGGGGGAGACGTGGGGTGGTGGGGGGGAGACGTGGGGGGTGGGGGGGAGACGTGGGGGGGGGGAGACGTGGGGGTGGGGGGAGACGTGGGGGTGGGAGGAGACGTGGGTGTGGGGGGGGGAGACGTGGGGGTGGGGGGGAGACGTGGGGGGTGGGGGGGGGGGGAGACGTGGGGGGTGGGGGGGAGACGTGGGGGTGGGGGGGGAGACGTGGGGGTGGGGGGGAGACGTGGGGGTGGGGGGGGGGAGACGTGGGGGTGGGGGGGGGAAGACGTGGGGGTGGGGGGGAGAAGTAGGGGTGGGGGGGGAGACGTGGGGGTGGGGGGGAGAAGTAGGGGTGGGGGGGGAGACGTGGGGGGTGGGGGGGAGAAGTAGGGGTGGGGGGGGGGAGACGTGGGGGTGGGGGGGAGAAGTAGGGGTGGGGGGGGAGACGTGGGGGGTGGGGGGGAGAAGTAGGGGTGGGGGGGGGGGAGACGTGGGGGTGGGGGGGAGAAGTAGGGGTGGGGGGGGAGACGTGGGGGTGGGGGGGGGAGACGTGGGGGTGGGGGGGAGACGTGGGGGTGGGGGGGGGAGACGTGGGGGGTGGGGGGAGACGTGGGGGGTGGGGGGCGACGTGGGGGTGGGAGGAGACGTGGGTGTGGGGGGGGGGAGACGTGGGGGGTGGGGGAGACGTGGGGGTGGGGGAGACGTGGGGGTGGGAGGAGACGTGGGTGTGGGGGGGAGACGTGGGGGGTGGGGGGGGGGAGACGTGGGGGGTGGGGAGACGTGGGGGTGGGGGTGGGGAGACGTGGGGGGTGGGGGGGCAGACGTGGGGGGTGGGGGGGAGACGTGGGGGGGTGGGGGGAGACGTGGGGGTGGGGGGAGACGTGGGGTGGTGGGGGGGAGACGTGGGGGGTGGGGGGGAGACGTGGGGGGGGGAGACGTGGGGGTGGGGGGAGACGTGGGGGTGGGAGGAGACGTGGGTGTGGGGGGGGGAGACGTGGGGGTGGGGGGAGACGTGGGGGGTGGGGGGGGGGAGACGTGGGGGGTGGGGGGGAGACGTGGGGGTGGGGGGGGAGACGTGGGGGTGGGGGGGAGACGTGGGGGTGGGGGGGGGAGACGTGGGGGTGGGGGGGGGAAGACGTGGGGGTGGGGGGGAGAAGTAGGGGTGGGGGGGGAGACGTGGGGGTGGGGGGGAGAAGTAGGGGTGGGGGGGGAGACGTGGGGGGTGGGGGGGAGAAGTAGGGGTGGGGGGGGAGACGTGGGGGTGGGGGGGGAGAAGTAGGGGTGGGGGGGGAGACGTGGGGGGTGGGGGGGAGAAGTAGGGGTGGGGGGGGGGAGACGTGGGGGTGGGGGGGAGAAGTAGGGGTGGGGGGGGGAGACGTGGGGGTGGGGGGGGGAGACGTGGGGGTGGGGGGGAGACGTGGGGGTGGGGGGGGGGGAGACGTGGGGGGTGGGGGGAGACGTGGGGGGTGGGGGGCGACGTGGGGGTGGGAGGAGACGTGGGTGTGGGGGGGGGGGAGACGTGGGGGGTGGGGGGAGACGTGGGGGTGGGGGAGACGTGGGGGTGGGAGGAGACGTGGGTGTGGGGGGGAGACGTGGGGGGTGGGGGGGGGGGAGACGTGGGGGGTGGGGAGACGTGGGGGTGGGGGGGAGACGTGGGGGGTGGGGGGGGTGAGACGTGGGGGGTGGGGGGGAGACGTGGGGGGTGGGGGGGGAGACGTGGGGGTGGGGGGGAGACGTGGGGGTGGGGGGGGAGACGTGGGGGTGGGGGGGGGGGGGAGACGTGGGGGTGGGGGGGAGAAGTAGGGGTGGGGGGGGGAGACGTGGGGGGTGGGGGGGAGACGTGGGGGGTGGGGGGGGAGACGTGGGGGTGAGGGGGAGACGTGGGGGTGGGGGGGGAGACGTGGGGGTGGGGGGGGGAGACGTGGGGGTGGGGGGGAGACGTGGGGGGTGGGGGGGAGACGTGGGGGGTGGGGGGGGAGACGTGGGGGTGGGGGGGAGACGTGGGGGTGGGGGGGGGAGACGTGGGGGTGGGGGGGGGAGACGTGGGGGTGGGGGGGAGAAGTAGGGGTGGGGGGGGAGACGTGGGGGTGGGGGGGGGAGACGTGGGGGGTGGGGGGGAGACGTGGGGGGTGGGGGGGGGGGAGACGTGGGGGTGGGGGGGAGACGTGGGGGGTGGGGGGGGGAGACGTGGGGGGTGGGGAGACGTGGGGGGTGGGGGGGGGAGACGTGATGGGTGGGGGTTGGGGAGACGTGATGGGTGGGGGGCAGAGCTGGGGAGCGGAAGTCGGAGGAGGAGAGGTGGGGCGCAGGGGGAGGAGGTTGAGGAGGGGAGGGGGAGGAGGCAGAGTGAGGAGAGGGAGAAGAGGGGGGGGAGGGCAGGGTGAGGGGGGGGAGGGCAGGGTGAGGGGGGGGAGGGCAGGGTGAGGGTGGGCAGAGTGAGGGGGAGAGGGTGGGCAGAGTGAGGGGAGGAGGCAGAGTGAGGGAGCGAGGGGAGGGGGGGAAGGGGGAGGAGGCAGAGCGAGGGGGGTGGGAGGAGAAAGTTTGCGCCACCGCCACCACCAGCAGCGAGCGAGGATTTTGTCCTCAAGGCAGCCGCGCAACTCGCGGGAGTCGGCGGCCAAGACGTCGCTGCCGCTGCTTTACATTCAAGTGAATTGCTGCTCCGTGGGTTCATGGCAATAACAACAACAATAACAACAACAATAACAACAACAAGACGACGACGAGGGGACTGATTCATTCGCCCGCGTGTGAAGTTGCCGACGCGTCCGCTCCTGAGGTTGTTTTGTGGCCGGGGGAAGGAAAAACCAGCAATGAAGGCCGGATCGGTGTGATTATCATTCATTGCGGGTACGTGCGCGCGCGTGCGTAAGTGTGTGTGTAAGTGTGTAAGTTTATGTGTGTGTAAGTTTGTGTGTATGTGCAAGTTGGTGTGTGTGTGTAAGTGTGTGGAAGTTTGTGTGTGTGGAAGTGTGTGTGTGTAAGTTTGTGTAAGTTTGTGTGTGTGTGTATGTTTGTGTAAATGTGTGTGTAAGTTTGTGTGTGTTTGTAAGTATGTGTAAGTGTGTGTGTAAGTGTGTAGAAGTTTGTGTGTGTGGAAGTTTGTGTAAATGTGTAAGTTTGTGTAAGTGTGTGTAAGTTGTGTGTTTGTAAGTGTAAGTTTGTGTGTGTAAGTGTGTGTAAGTTTGTGTAAATGTGTGTGTGTAAGTTTGTGTAAATGTGTGTGTGCAAGTTTGTGTAAATGTGTGTGTGCAAGTTTGTGTAAATGTGTGTGTGTAAGTTTGTGTGTGTAAGTGTGTGTAAGTTTGTGTAAATGTGTGTGTGTAAGTTTGTGTGTGTAAGTGTGTGTAAGTTTGTGTGTGTTTGTAAGTGTAAGTTTGTGTGTAAGTTTGTGTAAGTTTGTGTGTCTGTATGTTTGTGCGTGTGTAAGTTTGTGAGTGTGTAAGTTTGTGTGTGTGTAAGTTTGTGTAAGTGTGTGTAAGTTTGTGTAAGTGTGTGTGTGTAAGTTTGCGTAAGTGTGTGTGTGTAAGTGTGTGTGTATTATTGTGTTTGTGTAAGTGTGTGTGTATTATTGTGTTTGTGTAAGTGTGTGTGTATGTGTAAGTTTGCGTAAGTGTGTGTGTAAGTTTGTGTGTGTAAGTTGGGAGTGGTAGTGTAGCGATTCCCGCTCACGGCCAACACCGGTGACGATTATCTGAATCGGTCCTGGGCCTCCCCTAGGTCAACTCAGCCTCAAATGAGTACCGGGTGCGGTGTGCAGTAAACATCGCCATTGGAGAGACAAAGGCGGCCGGGCGTGGTGCTGACCACCCACCCCCTCGTGTGCCGTTCCGGCCTTTATAGGTGCTTGCTAAAATCACTTGCCCCAATAGTCTGTTACAGGCTACACGGGGGATCTGTCAATTAATTATTTGGTTTGTAGTTCACTTGCTCGTGAAGTTTGTGCGTGTCTAATTGTATGTATGTTGAACATCTTTATCACCGTACGTAGCCAACCGTGCCAATCGGAGGTGTGGGGGAAGGACAACAAACTATAGGTCTCTGTGTGAGTCTATAGGTCTCTGTGTGAGTCTATGGGTCTCTGTGTGAGTCTATGGGTCTCTGTGTGAGTGTATGGGTCTCTGTGTGAGTCTATAGGTCTCTGTGTGAGTCTATAGGTCTCTGTGTGAGTCTATGGGTGTCTGTGTGAATCTATGGGTCTCTGTGTGTGTCTATGGGTCTCTGTGTGAGTCTATGGGTCTCTGTGTGAATCTATGGGTCTCTGTGTGAGTCTATGGGTCTCTGTGTGAGTCTATGGGTCTCTGTGTGAATCTATGGGTCTCTGTGTGAGTCTATGGGTCTCTGTGTGAGTCTATGGGTCTCTGTGTGAGTGTATGGGTCTCTGTGTGAGTCTATAGGTCTCTGTGTGAATCTATGGGTCTCTGTGTGTGTCTATGGGTCTCTGTGTGAGTCTATGGGTCTCTGTGTGAGTATATGGGTATCTGTGTGATGAGTCTATGGGTCTCTGTGTGAGTCTATGGGTCTCTGTGTGAGTCTGTTGGTCTCTGTGTGAGTCTATTGGTCTCTGTGTGAGTCTATTGGTCTCTGTGTGAGTCTATGGGTCTCTGTGTGAGTCTATGGGTCTCTGTGTGAGTCTATGGGTCTCTGTGTGAGTGTATGGGTCTCTGTGTGAGTCTATAGGTCTCTGTGTGAGTCTATAGGTCTCTGTGTGAGTCTATGGGTGTCTGTGTGAATCTATGGGTCTCTGTGTGTGTCTATGGGTCTCTGTGTGAGTCTATGGGTCTCTGTGTGAGTATATGGGTATCTGTGTGATGAGTCTATGGGTTTCTGTGTGAGTCTATGGGTCTCTGTGTGAGTCTGTTGGTCTCTGTGTGAGTCTATTGGTCTCTGTGTGAGTCTATTGGTCTCTGTGTGAGTCTATTAGGTCTCTGTGTGAGTCTATGGGTCTCTGTGTGAGTCTATGGGTCTCTATGATTCTATGGGTCTCTGTGTGAGTCCATGGGTCTCTGTGTGAGTCTATGGGTCTCTGTGTGAGTCTATGGGTCTCTGTGTGAGTCTATGGGTCTCTGTGTGAGTCTGTTGGTCTCTGTGTGAGTCTATGGGTCTCTGTGTGAGTCTACGGGTCTCTGTGTGAGTCTATGGGTCTCTGTGTGAGTCTGTTGGTCTCTGTGTGAGTCTATGGGTCTCTGTGTGAGTCTGTGGGTCTCTGTGTGAGTCTGTGGGTCTCTGTGTAAGTGTATGGGTTTCTGCGAATCGACGTACGTGTGAACTTCTTTCGCGCCAGACCGAGCCAACCGTGCTAATCGGAATCCTTGGGGCAAGGACCACAAGATTGATGCTGTTGTTGTTGTGTCGCTGTGTGTTGTTGTTGTTGAAGTAGTGAAGCAGTGGGACAGAGCTTCACGGCTCCCTTGCGAGGAAACGGAAGTCACGGCAGCCGGGTTGGGCCAGGCGAGGTGAAACGGAGACCACCTCCAGAGGACAATTTCAGATTTTCCGAAGTAGATTATTCTTTTATTACAACGCCCACCGTGGAAGATTAATTCATCGCAGGAAAGGAGATTATATCCGGGCAGGGCAAGATTGTAAAACTTCTCGAGAAGAACGAGAGAAGAGGAGGCTTTAGGCTAGAGAGATCCCAACAACAGGAGGAGACCATCATCATCACCACCATCATCATCAGATTTGACGCTGCCCTCAGCAATCCGGAACGACTGAATCGGCGTGCACATCACCAACGAAACATCACCTCGAGACCAAGAATTAAGCGTCCTCGGAAAGAAACAGAAACATTTGGTCGAGCGAGAAAGAAAACAAAGTCAGAAAAGATTTTAATTGAAATTTAATTTGCCCCACGATGGCCTCTACGGGGCGCGTGCGCGGGGCCCAACGGAGCGGCCTGCTGGAGGTGCTGGTGCGGGACGGCGGCTGGTGCCGAGTCCTGGCCACGCTCGGCGAGGACAGCCTCACGCTGAGCGCTGAGGAGGCTGCCGCCGCCACCAACAACGGCGGCGGCGGTGTTGGCCCGGGGGCGGGTGTCGAGAGCAGCTTCAACGGCCTCAACGGCCCTCCGTCGACATCCCCGCAGCAAGGACGCGGCCCGGCGGAGGACGAGGGGCCTGAGGAGGCCGTGCCCGAGTCGATCGCCAACATCAAGCGGGTGGTGCGCGTCCTCAAGCAGGAGGTCGGCGGCCTGGGCATCAGCATCAAGGGCGGCAAGGAGAACAAGATGCCCGTGCTCATCTCGAAGATCTTCAAGGGGCTGGCGGCCGAGCAGACGGGCGGCCTGTACGTGGGCGACGCCATCCTGTCGGTGAACGGCGCGGACCTGCGCGACGCCACTCACGACGAGGCCGTGCAGGCGCTCAAGAGGGCCGGACGCGAGGTTGTGCTGGAAGGTGAGCGGGCCGAGCAGGGCGAGCAGAGCGGGGCGGGCGAGCGGCCACTTCGTGCCCCTTGCTGTGGAGGACCGCGTCCGGTTCGCCGTCGGATTGCGAGTGCGAGTCTAGCCCTGTAATGTGCTCTGGGAAAGTAGGGGGTACAGCTGGTGCATCTACCAGTCATCTCAGTCGGCCAACGCAAAGCACTACCTGGGTCTGTCCAAAGACCTCCTGTCAGCGAGCCTTCGAAACTTCACGTGGCCTCAAGGTGCACCTCGCTTGGCACAGGCGCCTTGGAGAGGCCACCGTCACTTAGTGGCGAATGGAGAGTGTTGGTATTGGTGCTCCGGGAGGAGAGAGCGGTGGTGTTGCGTGTGTGTGTATGTGTACAGCTCTTTGTACCACGTATTGAAACTTCATTCACACCGTTATGTAGACAACCGTGCTATGAACCCCGGCGTTCCGAGTTCTAATTATATAAACCGGTGTTGGGCTTCCTCCTCGGTCGATTCGGCCTCAAATGAGTACCTGGTGCAACTAGGGAGATAAAGGCAGCCGGGCGAGTTGCTGGCCGTCCACCCACTCATGTGCCGTGCCGGCCTTCATAGGTGCTACTTGCTTAAAGCACTTGCCCCAAAAGTCTGGTGCGGTGTGTGGGGAGCGGTAGTGCCGCAGTTAAAGCGTGCTGCGCTACGAATCCAGTAATCAGTTTGCTCGATTCTCGCTCGAATGATCTGAACCGGTCCTGGGCCTCCCCTAGGTCGTTTCAGCCTCAAATGAATACTGTACGTGGTGCGGTGTGTAAACATCACCATTGGGGAGATAAAGGCTTTAGGGCGTGATGCTGACTCCCCCCCCCCCCCCCTCATGTGCGTGTGTGCCAGCCTTCATAGGTGCTCCTCGCTAACAGCACTTGGCCCATAAGTCTGTTGAGGCTATACGGGGGCGGGGGGGATCTTAGTCTCTATAATTGGTAAAAAATCTGGTCTGTGGACCAATGTCTGGTCTATAATTGGGATGCAAATGTGCAGGGATAGCAGTCTCTTTGCCTGCAGCTCCGAGGACAGCAGTGTCCAACTCCTCAATGTTGCTCGTGGTCATCCTCCACATGCTGTTGATGTCGGTGGTCGGGTAAAGCTTTTGGAGAGGGACGATTTGTTTTCGGTGGCCCGAAATATTTGCCTTGCGCATGTCACATTCACGGCCAGCTGCGTGTGACCGTACGTCGGGAGTGTTGAGAGGGGCCTTGGGAAAAAAAAAATGTTCATGAAAGAAGATGTTGTGTGTGAACAATGTTGATGATGTTGCAATGGTAATAGGAGAGCCATTGTATCCAGAAGGGTTTCAACGAGTCTCAAGACTCATTTTCAAGGGGGGGTGGGGGGGTGGCTGCAGCATTGGGATGTCTGGCAAGTTTTTGTTTAAGGAGCTTTATTGAAATCATGGGCTCATGTTAAATTTAGCTTGGCTTTATAACGTGTGCATATTTCGCGGATCGGACGCAATGTTTGATCGAGGTGAGGGCCTGAGAGAGGTGAGGGCCTGAGAGTGGCGAGGCCTTGAACCAGGTGAGATGCTTGAGCAGCTGCTTGAAGGTAGATGTATGCTCCAGGGATGTGTCTGCGGGAGTGCAGCAGTGGGAAAGAAAGAGCGTTCCAGACGGCTGCTGCCGGTGCAGCTATGGAGAAACGCTACTCGGCCCGGACACAGGTCCTGGCTGTGGGTTGTTAGACGCCCTCCATCCGTCGGTTGCAGCGGTTTGCCGTGGTCAGTAGAGTGGGTTAGGGTGGAGAGGAGCTACGGTGCCAGAGCCTGAAAGATTGGAGCCGAACTAAACTCTACAAACGAGACGGTAATCGAGGAGTCAGTAACACGGAGCACATGCTAGAAATGAGACAAAAGGTTTATTTATTCCAGCGGCCGCCGGGCAAACGCTCGCACGCCTCCTCCTCCTCGTCGCTCTCATCCAGCCAGCGGCTCGCATTCGGAAAGTTGCGGGTTCAATTCCTGGTTGTGGGTTGACTCGGCTCATCACCGTCGCTCCCTCCGCAGGGGGTCAATAAAATTAGTACCCCCCCTCCCCACAACACAGGAATGTGGAATTTGCACCACCGGCTCTGACAGCGTTACGAACAGGAGATGAGCACCAACGCCCGCTGCTGCTCATCGGAGCAGGAAATCACCTCGACTCTTCTGAGTTACCGCAGGAACATGAGGAGACTCCCCCCTCCCCCGCACCATCGAGGATCGAGTTATCCATGACGGGATAAAAGTTAAGAACTCGGGAGGAAGTCGTCCTCCAGCCCAACCTGACCCCCCTCCCCCCTCAATTCCGATACCTTCGTGCGTTTTGAAACACCCCTCGCCCCCTGACGCCCGCTCGGCTCGCAGCTCCGCACAAGACGCACAGCAAGCGAAGGGAACACTCGCTGCGAGCCGGCCTCGTCAGCTGTTGGCTGTCGATCCGCCAGGCCACCCCCGAGCGCCCAGCGGTCACGCGGGTTAACAGGTGCTCCCCGAGCGGGCAGGTCCCGTCTCGGCGCGCCGTTTTGGCACGGGGGGCTGGGGTGGCGGTTGGGATTGGGTGGCATCGAAAGTTCGCAAAGAAGCGCGGAGAGATTTGTCGATTGTTTTTGTTGGTTTTTGGACGGCGGAAACACCCGTTGTGCAAGAAATGCACATTTTTCGATGGGAACCTGGGGTTTTCGCGATAAAAACCGGATCACGGCAGCAACAACAACAACAACATCTACAACAACACACGAAAAAACACGTGATGAAACTATTTACAACAAAAAACAATGGTGCTTTGCAGGGTCACGTTTCCGAACGTGGCACGGTAGAGCATTGCTTTGGAATCGCAAGGGAGAGAAAAGGGATTTTTGGAATGCGTGGACGAGGGAAGGGGGTTGGCTTTTGAGAAGGGTTCGCCGACTGGGAATGGACGCTTCGTGGTTGAAAGCGATGACGGCCGGCGGTCGAGGCTGGAGACAAGAGTGGCAGCTGAAGGAGATGTTGACGACTCGATGAGGGAGGCCTTCATCCAGCAGTGGATAGATAATGGCTGCTTCTGCTTATGGTGGTGATGATGATGATGATGCAAGCAGGTTTCAAGATGTTATCCAGAGTAGATTTGATTTGCATGAGGCTCTTTATTGCAATAGTCAAGTCAAACCTCCCCCTACTCAAATGAGTAATGGCTACAGGATATCGCCTGTTGCAACGTTGCAACATACGATTACCGTACTCTCTGGATTACAAGATGCACATATTCAGCTCCCACCCACCCACACGGTGTTGAAAAGCTAAATTTGGGGGATGCCTATTTTAAATCCGGAGAATTGTCTCCAGGAAGACGGTCCTCCACAGCAAAACCTGACCATGCGGACGGGGGAACACGAGAGACGCCACGAGCGTCATCTTCCAGAGGGGCATCCCTGCCCATTTCAAAGCAGCGTGCTCATGATCACCTTCTGGCAAGACGGTGGGACCCTCCGTGGGAGTTACCGTATTCTCCCGAATATATACCCCGCCCGTCTATTTGTCGTTGTGGTCAAATGACCCCAGAGTTTTGAGACTCCGTTTTACTTTCCGGAGAGACTTACGCTCCAGAGAATGCGGTAGTGATGCCGGGGTGGAGTGGGGTTGAGCGCAGAGTTTGTTATCGCTCGCTCGGTGTGCGGAGGAGTGAGTCGGGGTTTGCTCCCGGGGAAGATTAAACACGGGTTGGGGGACAGGATGGGGGGGGGGGTCAAGGTGAGGGCCAGTGCGGTTAGCGAAGTCGCCCATCGTTTTTTTTTGTTTCCAAAAAAGTTCACCCGTGATGATTCGAGGGATTCATTCATTTGTGGAGGGAGGAGGGAGTCGCGGACGAAGCTGGGTGATTCCCCCGCCCCCACCCCCAATGCGAAAAGCAAAAAAAGTCGATGTCACAGACATTCCAAGCAGAATAATTTACAGCCCCCTTTGCCAATCCACTACTTTACCCCTCACCCTGCTGGGTTGACCATACTTCACCGCCGTGGTCAATGCGCGTCGGTGAAGTGTACGTACGTATGTACGTTGAAATTCTTTTCGCACCGTACGTAGCCGACCGTGCTCATTGGAGGTTGCGGCGGCAGCGGTGGCGGTGGCGGACCCAGGGCCCGGTTCGGATATCACTCGCCAGCTGATGTCAGCCGTGGCCTCGAAGTCAAAAGGCCCAGCTCTCCAGGTCCACAGTGCGATGCCGCTGCCCGCTTCACCCCGCATAGTGTAGGAGTGTACTCTATACACGGGCGTTCTGCAACGGGAAGAGCCGGCTGCTCTTGCCTCGTCTGGCGAGTCTGAGATCACAACTGCGCCACCACAACCGCTCCCAACACTGGCAGCAGCAGCAGCAGCAACAACAATAATAATAATTACGAGCATGTCCTTTATCCAGAAGAGCGTCACGGAGGCTCAAGGAAGCCTCTGGTACTGCACGGTCTTGAGTGGGAAGTTTGGCAAAAATAGCACGCGGACAATAAAACGAAACGCCCACGGGGATGCGAGTGTGGCGGCATGATGGCGAGATGTAAACTACATTGCCTGGTATACAGGAGGTCGTGGGTTGGATCCCTACCCTAACGCCTGCTGTATATTTGGAATTTGCGTGTGTCTGTCCCCGTGGTCGCGTGGATTTTTCTCTGGGTTCTCCGATTTGTCCCCTCCACTATTTAGAAACATGCATTTCGGATATTTGTCTGCTATAAATTTCCACACGATGATAAGCCACTTCGTTGAGCTATCGTTTGTGACCAGGTCGCTTCTGAAAAAGAGCTATACAGTTCAGCAGGCTCTACTTGGTCAAAAAAAAAAATCGTTTAACACGCGGAACTCTGTGCGCGAGTAGATCGACAGCCTCCTTGTACCAGAATGAGAGGGGGAAAGGAATGGTGGGAAAATATTAGACGTTCGGTTATGGTGACAAGTTCCAAACCTGCGAGGCAGTCGAACCTGGCTTAACCGCAGGTGGCTACCGGGATTTGAACCCAGGT